TGCCACACTGGGATGCCACGACTGGGGTGCCCCTGTCCCCGTTCCTCCCCCCAGCAGCTCCCTGCTTGCTGCCTGCAGGTGCCAAGCTGGATGATTTTGCCGATTTCACCACGTTTGGGCTGGCCACGGCGCTGCTGCTAGTCCTCGGCTGGCTGGAAGACTAAGCACTCTGACCATGCCTCCTGTATTTCGTGTTGAATTCATGAGGTGCTTACAAGTTAATCCTTACTAAAGCAAATTTAATGGATCAGGATCCCTGCAGAGACTTAGCAATGACTGCGTACGAAGCGAAGCTTAGGAGGGAGGCAGTCAAAAAGTAAAGAATTCATAGGCAGGAGAACACGCGTCCTCGCTGCTGGCGGGCACCTTCCTGCTGTCCGGGGGCAATGTCACCCTGCTGCGGGTCACCGCCGCCGTCATGATCCTCTTCATGCTGGACCGGGGCTTCTACCCCCATGACAAGGTGCTGGAGTCCCAGCTCTGGAAGAAAGTGGTTTATGCTGGAGGTAAGGATGTGGTGAGAGCAAGGATCCCGCTGAGATGGAGGAGGAGGAGGAATGGGCTGATCCCAACGGCTCTTCCCAACCTGCAGGGGTGGCCGCTGTCCTCTTCTCACCAGCCACGGTGGCTTCCATCTATTGCCTCGCCTGGTCCATGTCCTACATCATGTTCCCCTTTGCCATCTGGAGCTGCAAAGCCCAACCCCTGCCTAATGCCTACTAAAGCCTTCCTCCTCCTCTTCCTCCTCCACCAGCACCTCCCTTCACTCCTCTCCAAATCCAAACCTGTTTAGAAAAGGGAATAATGGAGCTGTAGGAACAACTCTGTTTTGGGGGAGTCCCAAAACACACCCCATGTGCCCCACTCCTCATATGGGGGACAAAGGAACCCCTGTCACCCACTCCAGAGACCCCCAAACCCCTTCCCTGTGCAGGGGAGCATCAAATTTAGGGATCGCTCACACCGTGTGCTGTTAATGGGTCACAAGGGGGGGATTTACACCCCAAAACCAGAGGAAGACTCTTCCCTGGACGGGAGGAAGCCGCTGACTAAACCTCCAGAGGGATTTTGACACCCAAGTCACCAGGAGCACGTTGGGGTTTATGGTTTTACCCATCACTGCAGGGAAATAACCTGTCAAACGTGTTTAACCCCCCCTTTAGTGTGGGGCAGGATAGAGATGGAGGGAAGAGGGTTTTGGATCCATGGATCCAAACCCTCTGGAAAGCTGGAGGAGGATGGAAGTGAAGTTCAACCCAGGACCCCTGGGGAGGCTCTAGCAGCTGGATCCAGCCCCATGTCCCAATCCCAGCACCAGGAGCTGGAGCTGGTGCCTGCAGCTGCGCTGGCACCCGGCCCCGCTCCGGCGCTTCCCACACGCCATTCCCAGCGGCACCGGAGCCACGCGGGACCAGCACAGGGTTTATTTAGAAAAACACCCAAAACAAGGAGCTCTTTGCTAATAAATAACGTGGGGTCAGAGCGGGGCCGGCGCCTCACTCGCCCGAAGCCTGCATCTGCCT